TAGTGCCACTGTCGGTAATAAAAATGTTCCATCACAATTTATATTCTTGCTAAGTGAAAGACCTACGTTATGTTTTTCAAAAAACTTTATCAACCCCACAAACTACAAAGACAACAACTCTCACCCCAATGGGTCAGACCTCACACGTTACAACCCTTTCCGACGATCACGCGGTGTGTACTAAAGTGCACACTACAACATGGAATGCTATCCGAAGTGGCGAAGGCTGACCTTTGTTGATTCAAACCAAGTGCTGCACAGATGTTGCGTCAAGAGGAACACCATAAGAAAATGTGATTACCACTCAGCACCACGGGAAAATAGCCCTCTCATCAAGTTTCATGTTGCAGAGACACGAGACGTGGTAAAAAAACTACTTATCCCACTAGAGTCCGACCAAACAAGCACAAAATGCAATTACAGAAACCCTATCGCAATGAAATCTGACTGTTACCCATCGACACACACCTTAGTTGAACAAGACTAGCAACAAAAGATTGGACATTCTTCTTGTACTATGAATTTTTGCTCTACTATTTTTACAGCAAGACAGACTAGCAATAAAAGATTGAACATTCTTCTTGTACGTATGAATTTTCGCTCTACTATTTTTACAGCAAGACATCTTATAAGTCGAAAGCTAGGCCGAAGGATAATTTGACAAGTTTCTAGTGGTGATCTTATTTCTATTCAACAAAATTGCAAGTCAACCACCACCACGACTTTTTGACACTAATATATATATCAATGTTGCGCATGCCCTAGGGACCCCCCACAAAAATTTTCAGATTTTTCTGAGCATTTGGTGATAGGGTGGTATTTGGGGTGGGGGTGGGGGGTACAATGGGTTTTGGCGAGGATAGGAGGGTATAGGTGGGGATTAGAATCTTTGAAGATTTTTATTATTTATTTTACTGGCCCAAATGATCCAAAAATTTGGTGGCATACACCTAATGCAAGGATAGGTCGGACATACCTTGTCCGGTCCGACGTCCGACCAGACGTCCGGTCGGACGTCCGGTCGGACGTCCCGGACGGTCAGGGGGGTCCCGGACGTCCGATCCAACAACCACGCAAAATATAAGATATAACCGAATTTTAAAAAACAAACCATCTCATTTAGAAATTAATTATCAATCATTGATGGCTGTTTTGTTATATGAACCTCGACAAATTCAATTTCCATACCGTATAGATTTAGATGTTTTGAATTAAAGGCAACCAACCGTCAGGTCAGGCGACCAATAAGACACTAACCCCACCCCCACGTCCGGGGGCACGCGTGGATGAGTGCATACATAAATAAAATAAGTTGTTTTTTTTGTTGTGGCAGCTGCATTAATTGTTTTGGGTGAGTTGCATTCTTAGCGCAGCTGGATAGAGCAACAACCTTCTAAGTTGTAGGATGCTGAATTCTTAGTGGCTTTAGCTGAAGCTATTGCTTTATTCGCCTTAATGATGGCTTTCTTAATTTTATGGGCGACCGCGACACTACCAAATGAATTGCTCCTTTGCATTTCTTGGACCTGCTGAAGCGCCACCGCTGTCGCACGCTCTCCCACTGCATCCGGCTGCGCCGCTTCTGCCTACCACCTCATATTCATTGTTGATGTATCCAGACAGGGATCGACAATTAATACATCTGGCATATGAAGATGAGAAAATCTCGAAACTGCCGAGGCCATCGAGATGGCATGGTAAGGTACGTGTGAAGTTCTATGAAAGTTTTCCACGTGCTTAGGTGTTGAAGGTAGAAAGCTTGGAGGCTTGGAGCGGGGGCCTGCCAGGTTGGCTGTTCGGCCATTCAAGTAGCTGGACTAGCCAATGCCATAGCACAGGCTATGGTGGGCTTGGCAGGTGCCCGCCCGTTGTAACATCTCTCCCGTGCTCCACACGAAACAGGCAAGCCAACGCGATCCTCTCCCAGTTCTGCCGGTAGCATTCCCACCACCGCCGGTAGCGCTCCAACTGCTGCTCGCGGCGCCACTACCCGGAACACTCCGCGCCCTGTTTTTGATTTTTAGCTCGAGTGTGATACAAAATTTTGAAACGAGTCTCAGGCTTAAGTTGTTTGAAAAATCATTTTGCATAATGTAGTTTTTGTCCAATTTTTTCGATGCGCTTTTTTTTTTGCGTATTCCCACGGACCGGACTACGTGTACGCATGTATGTGATGCGCAACCTCACGCCCCGTGGCGGCTTTCCATACTGGGTTGCCGATCAGAGTAAAAGGGGGGCGTGGCCGAGGATTTTTGGCCGTGGGGATTGAGTCTCCTGGTAGGAATGAGAGTCTCTCGTTTCGGGGCCGATAGGTTTCCCCCGGCTGGGGCTCGATCCGTGATCAGGATTACCACAAACGAAGAGGGAAGAGGGCAGGGTGAACGGACGGGCCCAACCCGTTTTCTCTAGATGGAAAAGAAAGGGAAAGGGACGGAGGACCTGTTCCTCGGCAGGCCTGTTCTGCAAAAAGGGCGATGGATTCCCCCTCCCGGATTCTCAATCCTCGTCATCGGTTTCGTCGAGGCCTCGGGGACTCACGACCGTGGAAACTCGGCGGGCGGGGGCTGTCGCCGCAATCGAGATTCGAAAACGGGCAGGGAGAGCTCCGGCGTCCCGGGAGAGTTCAGGGAACCGGGCGGCTCCTTCGTACCCTAGAACCAGCCTTCGCCACGAGCAAGAGTCCCCCTGCTGGCACCAACGGCAACCAAACTGGGGGCGCTACGCGGCGCAAGCCGCAATCCAGGGGAGCACCGTCAGGTCGGTGTAAGGCAGTATAAGGGGCGGGGAAGAAAAGCGGTTTATCAGCACAAACCCTTCCCCCGCGATGTGGCAAGCCCGTTCAGGGTTGCGCCAGTGAAGCTGCTCCGTGCGTCGTAGGGCACTCCGTACGTCCGCGTCGCAGTAGACGCTGTCGTCGTCGACAAAGGGGAAAATCGGGAGTGCACTGCGACGCGCGGAGTCGGGGTAAGTGCACGGGCGAGAACCTGTGCTGGATTGGGAATCCGACAACGTCTCTCTCTCTGTCTCTCTCTCTCTCGGGTTTGACACAACTTAACCAGAGGGGTCCGAGTGGAGGGGCGGAGCCGTTTGCTGACTACCTTCAGCGGGCACAGCGAACATCTCCGGTCCTCAACAGCGATGCGCCACGTCAGACGTCGGCGCCGCGGGATTCCGACTCGAGCGCGCATGACGGAAGGGATCCCCTCGGTACGCGAAGACCCTCGCCCTACTCGATCGAGCAGCGGAACTAACAGGGGAACGAGACAAAAGGAAAAAGAGGTACGATGGCCGACTTAATCATGCATCCAGGCAGACAATCGCCACGCAATACCCAAGGACCACATGCATGCATACGCAGACTCACACCCCTTCACAGACCATCTCACCGCGWCTCACTCCCATGCATACAACTGATTACCCACTCGACGAGACGTTGCATACATCTCACGGAGACAGAGCAGCAATGGAGAAAAAGCGAGTTTCATTCTACACAAAATTTTCCAATTGGCTGACGCCCTCAGGCGCAACCGCAAACTTCCCAAGGACCACCGACCACCATAGCCACAAGACCCTGTCGTGATCGGCGTCCGATCTCCACCACGGCTCAATCCCTCCAGCTGGCTTACCCCGAGTATATCGCTAAGCCCGACCCACGTCGTCACTCCGCCCGTAACTTGGGCTCGTCAAGCTTGTTCGGCGTCGCGGACATTCGCGCATAGCTCGCGCAGCATTGCAACCGAGATCAAAGAGAAGGAGAGGAGGGGGTTGCGACAATTTATAGCGTGGGAGGCGACGGGTTGTCAGCGCGAGGTGCGGGCAGCGCCGGTAGAGGATAGGCAGGACAGAAGAAGGGTGAAGGGTTCGGAAGGGGTGTTCCGCGGAGTCACGTGGTCAAGCGTGATTGGGGTGTTCGTTCAAGTGGTGCGCCTTTTCGCCTTCCACATTGATCCGCGCATCCCAACTACGCAGCCATTCACTCGTGGAGGAAGACGGGGTGGGGATCGAGCTGGGCGTAGGGGAAGACGAACAGTCCTGCATGGGGGAAACGCGCGCAGCAAGAAAGGAAGATGGCACGGGGATGCAAAGCAAGAAACGGGGGTGCGAGGCGCGCGAAGAAGTCGGAGCTTAGGCGCGCGCGCACAAAAATTCAAAAAGTCCCAACCGAAACCGTTTCTTGATTTTCATACCGCGGCCGCTATTCGCCCGAGCGGGAGTTATTTAACCAAAGAAAAGTGAAAAAGCCGTTTGAAAAAGAAAATGAAAGTAAAAAGAAAGAAAAACCCCTTTTTGTTCGCATCCGTACTTCGGGGCTTCCGGGGGATTCTTCCTCACGGATACGGCAAGCCACGCGGTACGGGTCTGAGCTTATCACATCTGTGATGCGCAGGGGGTTCCGAAAACGTAGCAGTCTCCCAACTGCTGATGTCGTCATATTTTGGATGCTCGGGCGGCCTCTTCATCGTCAGCTGGCCCGATCATCTCCTAATCTACTTCGATGCCTTCGCATCGCCGGTCATCTCCCTCATATTATACATCCGATCGGGCGGCCCCTTCGTCGTTAGCTGGCCCTATCGGTAAGTAGTCCTCTGAAAATCAATTGTATATATATATATATATATATATATATATATATAAAATTTTTTGTACAGCGCGTCTCGACGCGCAAACTTTGGGCATAGGAGAAGGAGACGATGAAAAGAAAGAGAAGGAGAGAAGAAGGGAGAAGTAGGCGAGGGTGATCAAAGGAAGTGATCGATGTCGGGATTAAGAGGGGGCGGAATAGGTCGAAGGAAAGCGGCCATTGCCGCCGGAGTCGTCGGCGCCGCTCCCACAATGGCCTCGAGCCTGATGGTGTAGGGCCGCCGCTCCTGCTTCTGCGCCGCGAAGACAAGGAAGTGATACATCACATTGGGCCGCTGCCCGGTCTCGTAGATGAGCGTCCCCGCCATCCGCGCCGCGATACACCCTTGAAAAGAGGGTGTCAGATATGGCTCCCACGCCGGATCAGGGCGTGGCGCCCCCACAATGGCCTCGAGCCTGATGGTGGTGGGCTCCACCATGAAATCCACTTTTGTCCGGTGGACCGTCCAGCTCGGAGGAACTGCTAATGTCAATGATCGGGGCACTCCGGGGGGGCTGGCGGAAGCGGAAAGGTCCCGCGAGGACGGGGGGTCTGGATACAGGATCCGGTAATCCCATTCGGCTTCCTCCTCCGGCTGCTGCGGCTGATGGCCCGGCTCCATCGAGATTGAGATCGCGTACGCGCGGGAGGGGCGGCGATGGCACGACAGTTTCCTTAACCAAGGGTCAGGATTCCGCGCGTGCACGGGCTGAACCACCTCCTCGCCGCCACCGATTCGACTGCCTTGCGCTCCTGGTGATGGGTGGCGTCTCTTCCTCTTCGGCGTCTTCTTGGGGGCCTTTGGCGGCGCAGGTCTGGGATACGACGAGGGAAGTCGCAACGGCTTTTCCTCAGGGAAGTCCTCCAACCTCTCCTCGCGCTGCGCAATGTAATCCGGGATGACGACCGCGTTGTACGTTCTCCGCGGGGCAGACGCCATCCACAATCGTGGCTGGATCTCCTCTTCCTCGCTCGCGATCACTTGCGCAATGGATAGGAGCTCAAGATGTATGAGCTCCAACAATCCCGGATTGGTCGTCTGGAACTGGGCAAATGGGTACAACGCCACCGTCCCCTCCTTCTGCGCTGGCTTGTGCCGCATAATGACGTAATAAACGACGAAGTGCTCCCCGATGCAGTGGTCTTCGTGCTCCACGAAGAATCGAAACATCCCCAACACCACCGACTTGTATAGCGCGCGGTGCAACTCCCACACGTCTTCGTCTGCGAAGGGCAGCGACTCCACGTCGGCCAGCTCCACCAAATACTTCGAGAACTCGCACATAGGATAAGGGCCCTCCGTGAGTTGATAGGGGAGAGTGGTGTAAGAGAAAAAGGGAGGCATTTAGTACGAGGCAGGGGGAATAACTTGGATGTTGAGAGGGGCGGCGGGAGGAAGAAGCGCGAGGAGCTGTGGCACCAACGCAATTGGACCGTCCTCTGCCCTGCGTAACAGCGCTTCGTGGGCCGTGAATCGGTGTCCTCCCGTCCCTGCACTCTGGCCACTGATCTCGCCGCCTGCACCACGTATTCGCGCACAAAGCTTCGCGCCGGCTCCCGATTCGGCTGCGGCAGGATCGTCAAGTCTCCGATAAAGGTGGCGACGCTATGCACGAAGTTAGGTGCCACCTGCAGCGCGCGGAACTCTATGAACACTCGAGTCGTCTCCCGCCCAGGCAACTGCGTCACATCCACGTACACCCCCGCATACGTCAGCCGATCACAAAGTAACGAGTATGCCGCCAGATCAGCAACCCCGGGCGCTGGCACGTTCACCTGCTGAATGTCATATCGCAACTGCCTTTCCTCATTGAACTGATGCCGCAACAAGCGATTTGCAAGAGGCGTCTGGAAGTGCTTGAGGGGCTCATGCTCCAGCTGGCGATGGTTCATCCTGCTCCCTCAGACTCTCAGCACCAAGGGACGAGGCATATCGGGAAGGGGAAGAAGACGAAGAAGGAGAGGAGGGGAGAGAGGACGAGGGCTTGGACGGGGCAAGAGCCGATTCGCGCCCCGGAGATGGCCGAAACAGTCGAAGAGCCGCCGCGTGTCGCGTAAGCGACCTAGCCTGCGTGCTATGCCGGGGGACCAGCTTCACGGAGTGCTGTCCTCGTGCGCCAACTTCCGTCACCTCGTAAATGCCGGTATAGCGTGGGTGGATCTTGGAGGAGCGCGCAGATTTCCGTACCTGCACCAAGTCCCCGATTTTATAACGGGGCATTGGTCCCGCTGTCCCGTGTCGGTTCTCATAGTCCCGGATCTGCCGTTGATGCGTCAGATCCACGGCCCTTTGTCGTCTTCGGGCTAACGCGGGATAGGTCCGGGCCATCAGATTCAGGTAATGTTGGGCCTTGTCCTTGTGTTGGGCCCGGGTCACTCTAACTTCCGTACCCACTAGAGGTGACAACTGCACTCTGGGAACGCTATTGGTTCTCAGTTGGAACGGGGACACCCCGGTGCTCCCGTGGGGAGTAGCTCGATAGATGGCCAAAATGTGGTTGACTATGACAGGCCAGGGCCTGGTATCACATGCCGTGATATTCCGTCTAAGGGCAATCTTGATCATTCGGTTGGCGTTCTCTACGAGCCCATTGGCTTGGGGCCAGTGCCCTGTCACTCTACTTCGCCCTGGAACTCGGATCCATTGTCCATATGTATCTCTTCTACGTCCAGGTGCATGCACCAAAAACGATTAATATACCAGGCTACTTCCTGCGAGTTCCGGCTGGCCATTGGATATGCTTCGATCCATTTCGAAAAATGATCTACGGCTACAAGAAGAAAAATGATCTACAGCAAGTACGGACGATGTATTTCACATCTTTTCGGATTCCCGACCAGTATCATCCGTTTTTCTCTATTGCTTTTTCCGTGTACTTGACTGCAAAGTGGACCGCATCTTCCTCGTGGGCGGCTCGTGTCCAATCAAACCTGGCCAGTGGGTGTGGAACCGTCAGCCAACTAGATCCGTCGACGTCATCGTCTTTTCGTTTTTGAAGGACGGATCCCTGCCAGCGGTAATCGTGCGCCCGTTTCGTGACACGTCGCCGTTCAGCCTTGGTAAGTTCCGTCAGCGGGTCGCCTGTCAGTCTCCGTAATAGCAAAAGATCCGTCCAGACTTCCGCTCGGCGGACACTTGGCAAAAATCCGTCTTCCGTTCTGGCTTCTAGATACCGTTTTTTCGTAGGTACGTGGCCCGTTCGACAGTTAGGACAGTTCCAACTTTTCTCATTCCGGTACCGGACACAACTCCCATGGTACCGGACGATGTGACATTGGCTACATTGCACCCAGGGAAGAAAGCTAAGCCCCTCGGGAGGAGGATCTCCCCCGTCCGGTATCATGGGCAAGGTGCAGAAGAAACAGATTTGGGAAGGCGTGCTCGAAGGGGAGTCAGGGTCAGGAGACGGGGTTAAAGAATAGGGAAGGGGAGAAGGGGTGGCGGCCTCCTCAACGGAGATCGCCATCTCCGATTGCTGCAGTACCCTTGCGGAGGACATTCACCTCCCTGTAGCCGGGTCCCGTCGAAGGCGAAATCGACTTCCACGGGATGAGCCTTTCGTTCGCGGGACTCTTGTTCGGCGGCTGGAGGCGCGTCAGACCGTCGGCGTTCCCGTGCTGCCTGGTGGCGCGGTGGCGGATGTCGAAGTCGTAGTCCTGAAATCTCACCGCCCACCTTCCCAAGGTACCCGTGTGGTCCGTGTTGTTGTTCCGCAACGCCAGCAATGGCTGATGATCCGTCACGAGCACGAACTTCTGGCCTTACAGATACGGTCGAAAGTGCTGAACCCCCCACACCACCGCCAAACACTCACCCTTGCACGCCTCGTAGTTTGACTGCGCCTGGCTTAGCGTTTTCGACGCATACTCGATGACGTGCTCCCTTCCATCCGTTCCTTGCTGAGTCAGCACTGCCGATATCGCCTACGGCTGCCAGTCGGTATGTAGCGCAAACTGTCTTGTCGGATGGGGACGCGCCAACACGGGCGCCGACGTCAGAGCCTCCTTGAGTGCCTGAAAAGCCGCCTCGCATTCCGACGTCCAGATCAGCTCCTCCTCCTTCTTCAGCAGGTTCGTCAGCGGCTTGGCGAGGCAGGCAAAGCCCCGAATGAAGCGTCAATAATAAAAAGCCAGCCCTAGGAAGGCTCGAACTTGAGTGAGCGTGACCGGGGCCGGGGCTTCTCGGACCGCTGCTACCTTTCTGGGATCTGGTTTCAGTCCCTCGACCGTGACGATGTACCCCAAAAAGAAAATTTCGGACAAAAAAAACTCGCTTTTCTCCAGAGCCACTTTGAACCCCGCATCTTTCAACGCATGAAACACGCATTCGATATGTTCCACATGGTATTCGTAGGTTTTGGAAAAGACCAAAATGTCATCCATGTACACAACCACACATAAATTTATCAACGGCTGTGTCAAACGGGTTTTGCTAACGAACTCGGCGAAGGCCATATTCATGGCCCGCTGGAACATTGCAGGGGCGTTGCAAATTCCCATGGGACACCGAATCCACTGCCACGTGCCCTCGAACAGGACAAAAGCAGTTTTGGGCCGGTCTTCCGGTCGGACTGCGATGTCGTGAAAACCGTGTCGAATATCGAACTTCGAAAAGAACCGAGCGGACCCGATAGCATCCAGCAGATCGTCAATCCGCGGCAGCGGATAGACATCTTTGGTAGTAATACCGTTTAATTTGCGGTAGTCAATACACACTCGGATTGAACCGTTTCGTTTTGGCACGAGGACCACGGGAAATGACCATGGTCCAAGCGATGGTTCAACCCACCCCAACCGCTCGAACTCCCGTACCCTTTCCAAGGCCAGCTGTCTTTCTTTTAGAGCGGTACGGTCGGCAATGTATCGGAGCGCGATCACCGGTATCAATCGCGTGTTGGATCAGGTGGGTAAGCCCTATATCGTGGTCCTGGATGCTGACGGCCTCTGGGTAGGCCCGTATAACTGCCAAAAGAAGGCGCTTGTAGTCGTCAGGCACATGGGCCGGCAGCCGGACGTCCACGTTTCCCTCAGGGAGGGAGATCGTCGACGTAACCGTGGGGACTACCGCGTTGGCTTCGGGTGAGGCACCAAACAACGAATTGTCGGTTTTTGCCGAAAGCACGGTCGCGATGAGTTGACTGTCTGCTGGGCTTATCGGTTCGTTTTCCATGTCACTGTCGTTCTCGAGCTCGGTTTCAGCCGAGGGTTCCACTGAAAAGGCCTGTAACAGCTCCTTCGGCTTCCATCGATATTACCTCGTTCGAGGTTGAAACGAAACCCCTTTCTTCAAGAGCAGGGCGGCTTTTGCGTTCGTAAGTAGGGGCCTAGGAGGCCGAAAAGGCAGATCGCACAACCCCCTAAGCTCCGTAAACCTTTCGGGTAGGGGGCTGTCCTAAGATATAAGGACGCAGGGGGTTCCGAAAGGTCAGTTATTCGTAATACCCTCCGCAGGGGTTCTCCCTGCACCACGGAGGAGAACGCGTGTGACCAATCGGACTCGCTCCGAACTATTTCCATGGGTTCTCGTTGCCAGGAATGGCGCCACCGATCCTGAACCCAGATCGGATATCGGTCGGGTACATCGGTCACGTCAGTTTCCGATGAAGTTTCATTTTCACCGGGTGACAGACATTTGATCATATTGATTTGATGGGCTTTCGTAGTGGTTCGAGGCGCCGGCTGGGTGCGCATATGCACCGCCAATCTCATCGGTATCGTTTGTGGTTTGGAGTGGGCCGATGTGAGCACCACCTTACAACTGTCAAGGTGCATTCGCGCTCCGACCGCCGCCTGCCACGGAATGCCTAGCAGAACATCATACGCCTGCACATCCAATACGATTGCGTCGCTTAAACAATGCACCCGCCCCACTTGTATAGGCACGTTCGTTATCCGCCCCTTACAATGAATGTTGTCCTCCGTAGCGGATATATACAGTTCATCTGGTCGGAGGGGCTGAACTTGTCCTTCCCTTCCAAATCGTTTCGTTAATCTCCAAGAAATGGCGACCGCTGACGATCCCGAGTCTAGGATGGCGGCCGAGGGGTTTCCCCAGACCTCGCAGTCACACTCAACGCTTTTCCAGGTTATAGGGTAGGCTCGGAGGAATACCTCAGGTTTTTCCTAGGCGGGATTTACGGTCTGGGTCATTCCTACCTGGTTTGCTTCGTGCACCTTTGAGGTCGAGGGCTGTGACTCTTCGTTTGTGGGTAGGTCTCGTAGGACTGGTTTTTTGCCCTTTTGCCTTTCCTCGAACCAGCGCCTGTTCTTGAGGCATCGTTTGATCAACTTTTCGTTAGCCGCTTCGGAAATGGTTAGCAGATAGGGGATAGGGACGGGGATCCGTAGATCCAGAGCCTTCAAGGCATCCAACACGTCGATGTGACCGTCTTTGTACTCAGGGCCAGGGACTGTGAGATCTTCGAACCCCGACCGCCAAAGCCCGAGGTCGCTTTCCTCGGTAATCCTTCGGACGTGACGTATCACTCCAATGGTCCCGGGTTCGAACATCACCGCAGCCATATACTCATCGGGTCCTATCTCGGTGGCCACAGGGTCACCATTTCCGTCGTTCCAGTATCCATCACCGTGGCTACCCTCCCTTGTCCTGCAACGGTTGGAGCAGGTAACGGGATTTGGGAAGGTCCGGTGGGCCCCGCGGGCCCACTCTGAGTTCGAGGTTTCGAACAATCTTTCTCAAGGTGGCCCGGCTGATTGCAGTTGTAGCACCGCAGAGGCTGGGCAACTCCTGCTGCGGCTGGTTGGGTCATACGGGTACCGGCGGCCATGGCAGTTTGCTGTCGTTGCGCAGCTGCCACCCCTTGCCGCTGCAAGTTTTGAACGAATTCCGTTAGCGGGGCCACTACCGTGACCAGCTGGGCCGCGACCTCTTTCATTGATATTTCGTCCTCGTCCCGACCTCCTTGAGCTTGACCAGAGCGTCGGGAGGTCGACGCGGAAGACAAAATTTTCCGATCCAAATTCTTCTTTGTCGGTCCTAACCCGA